AATCCATTTCGGGTAGAGACAGGTATCTACCTCAGTACAATGGAAGATGGTCGCGCAATTAATTAGGACATCAAGAAGGATATTTGAATGAAGTAAGCAAAATACAAGGTTGTAAAACAAAAATTTGTAGATATCATTATGTACATGACTAAGATATGTTATAGATTAGAATCAACATTCATGAATCACGAAAGATGATATGATAAGACAGGGCTTACAATTAAGACTGTTTAAGAATATCATAAAATAACTATTTAGAAACAGTCATTAAAAGTATATCAGTGAATTCATCAAAGAGAATAGCTATCGAATTTCTCATAAGAACCTCTTAAAGTTTATATACAATAGGTAGGGTATGACTAGCAGTGGAATATGAGATCTGCGTTTTGTCTTATTTAAGACCCATCAGCTGAATGTACCTGCATTACGGAATTGGTGTTTCAGTTTTCTATTCCTGATCCAAACTCAGTAAATATCTCTCCAAACGCTCAACGCGTTATCCACTTAGCTACTGAGTTCAAACAGTCATTCACTTATGCTGGCGAGTCCTTTACCCAGGATTCCACTGCTAGCCACAACCCACCTCAAAATTTTTGACAAATCGATTATATCGAGTCATTTCTCACAGGGTGCACATTCGCCAACTAAGACTGATCAAAATTCAGTCGCCCCCAAATGCTGTTACGACTGAGGGTGGGAAGAGTCAGCTCTACCTCTCGAAATCCTCTCACATGGTCACTGGTATACAGCTGTTGACAGGGAAGTTCAACTCACTGTTTTCTCGCACCACGGGTGTTGTTTAGGAAATTAACAGGGCGAAAAGCGAATGTTCGGTGTCTTAACTAGGTTGGTGGATATGGAGAATCCACCTAGGGAAGTTAGGAAACTCTGATTCCAAACCAATGGTTCACATGGGCTCCAGTATCCTGAAGAAACAAATGGCATACGATTATTGACTACCATAGAACTACATCTCCTTACGTTGCTAAATTGCCTTGTGAATCCAACCTTTAGATCAAAGGCTTGTGGTGTGGCTCTCTAAGAAAACCACCTGCTTCGATCTGGGCACCCGGATAGTATCACAGCTCACACATAGATCAAGTGACTTTTGTGGTGCATATGTATTCGGTGCCCCTTTGTACCTATGTTTATGTGTCCAATTAAATAATAATAATAATAATAATAAATTAAAACGAGATATTTCAAAAAGCCCTACAAATTACATTCATCATAGCGTTGTACAGGTGTCCCATACTAGGAGTTAATAGCCGTCCAAGTTTTCAACGATAGTCTAACATTGATCAGTTCGTGATCTCAACAAAAATTAAATTTAATTACTTATTACTATTATTTACATTGTTCAAATTAATTAATTAACTCACTAAACACTAGTGTTTGTGTTCAATTAACACATATTGACATAATTATTTATTTCACCAATCTTTCCCTTCATACATACAACATTATAATGTACACAAAAAAGGTTTAATAAACAAATCAGTTCTCTACCCATATGTCTATCTATACTTTCATATTTCTTATTTGTTTAACATAAAAAAATGGTCACGTTTAATTGTAATTACAGTTGGTTTATTTTTTAAATGGGTTTATTTTATTCAAGTTTTCTTGTATTTGTTACTATGGAACTTAAATAATATTTGAAGAGTTAATCAATTCATTCAACAACAACAACAACAATAACAAAATTATTATTACCCACTCAAGAAATAATGAATTAGTCAATTACTGAATACATTTTATGTCTTAAAGATATTGGTTAATTTCAATGGTTGAGATCATGAGTCAATTGAAGCTAAACGACCACGGGAAACTTGAAAGCACTGGACAGCCGTTTCGTTTTACTGTGGGACTACTCCTTGGCAGTTAGCATCTACGACCTCGCCTTGCGAGATTCGAACCCAGTACCTATCAGTCTCGCACGTGACCGCTTAACTACGAGACCACCGAACCGGCCGGCATCCAACGGTGTTAATGTCTAACTTCAGCCAATCTACGAAATTGAGCGATACATCCATCATTGTCTTCAATTACTGTCTCACAACAGACCTGGTTGAACTCCACTGGTCACTGCTTCTCACTAGGACTCCAGAAAATAACTCTTGGAGAGTCACCAGTGAGCATATGATCATTAATATGAGAAGGGTGGTTTTGTGGATATTATAGTAGTCTTAGGGGTTGAGATCATGGTTAACGGTTTAATTATTCGTGTCCAAAACGATTCTTTGTATTTTTGAATCTAATGTTTAGATTTCTATTGATATTCCTATTGTTTCCTTAACTATATCTTGTTATATTGATATGATGTGCAGATAACTTATTTTATTTCTGTTTAGTTTAAACACATAAACATTAGTACAAGGAGGCACCAAATAGATAAATCATTCGATTTGTGTGAGGGCTTGAATACTGCCCGGTTGCCCAAACTGAAGCAGCTGGCTTTCTTTGGAGGCTATACCATGAACCTTTGACCTAGAGGTCTAATCCGCAAGGCAATGGAGCAACGTTAGGAGATACAGTTCCATGGTAGCCGGTGACTAATAATTGGTTCATATGCCATTTGTGCCTTCAGGATCCTGGAGCGCATATGAACTATTGGTTTAGAACGAGGTTCTCCAACTCCCATAGGTGGTTGCTCTATATCCACCAACTGGGTTAAAGGGCCGAACATTGGCTTTTTGTTATGTCAATTTCGTAGACAACAGTAATGCCACGAGAATGCAGTAAATAGGATTTCTCTGTCAGTGGTTGTATGCGCGTGGCCATATAAGAGGATTTTGAGAGGTAGAGCTGACTCTCCCCACTCTCTGCCGTACCAGGCCATTTGGGGACAGATAACTTGGACCTATGGAAATTTGTTCATTGTCTTATGTTGACTATAACTGTATAAGACTCAGCAGAGGACACTAAAGAATAAACTAACTATCATAGATTTTTAAATTTTCAAGTCTATATAGTTTCTCAGTGGAAATAAACAAATTTTCTTGTCTAGTTATTTGGGTCCATGAGATTGAACTATAATACAGGATAGCAGTTGTATTGATCTGTTCTGAGTACTGATTAACTAGTCTAGTTTGTCTATCTAATACCAATGGCACGATAAATGTGAGATAACAGCCGAGAATAACATTAAACAACCATTAGTCCAGAATTCATTTTCCCACTCTCACTCGCCCGATAGCCAGAATAGAGAATAATTCCACAACCAAACAACCTCTAAGTATACAGTTCAAATTTATGAATTACTCATATCATAAAATTGAGCAAAATCTCATCCACATATTAACATAATTAAGAAATTACAATGTGTGGATACGGTCACTCCGTAAGAGGAAGAGGACTAAGTGATGGGTGCTTAGTAAATTAACAATAACAAAATCTTACAAAAAGGGGGATACAAAAAATGCAGAAGTTTAAGTATTTAATAAATGAACAATAAAAATATAAACAATAACCTCAGGATTGTCCCAAAACTTCATCTTTACTTAATATTTATCTTAACATATCACCATAGTTAGTTATTTCCCGTTGTGTATTTGAATAAAATCCCTTCCTCCTCAGAGGATAAGGTCAATTGAGGAAATCTCTTATCTTATGCTCTCTTCAGTCATTATCCTATTCGGAAACTGACTTATTATCTTTCCCTATCCAAATGATAATCCAGTATTCAACAGAGTATTTCGTCCGATTTTGAGGAAAAACTCCAACGGTTTATATTACTGACGTAGATATTAACTAAATTTTGTTTCACTTATCATAGATGTTTACTCGACGTTTCATACCTGTAGGAGCGGTCAAAGAAAACCAACAATTGAACTGACAGTAAAACTAGTATTTCTAATTGTCTTACTAACAATACCTTATTTTTTTTAGATATGCTTTTCGGTAATTGCCTTGCGTTTCGAACTATTGTATCCGTTTCTGTTTTGTTGTAACCATTTCTCACCAGTAATCATGTGTTTCGGTTCACTCGAAGAGTTAGATTTTTATTTCTTCGAAGTTACAAACTGATCTAGGTTGTCAAACTATTGAAAACCTGAGATCGCTAGACGGTTGCTTCGTCATAGCATGAGACTCCTCAGCACTGCACCTCCAACCCCTGGGATTCGAACCTAGGGCCTCCGATTTCGCACTGTTGAGGAGTCACACACTAGGAAGAGACGACTTTTTAATTTTTCCAAGTTTTCAAATAAGCTTTGAAAATTGATCGATTAATGTATTTGCTTGTAGCTAATTTTGTATGATATGGCTCATGGTTTCTTACTGATTGATCGTTCAGTAATCAAATATCATTTTTATCTAGTCTAGGATGATGATCGAATTCTACCTCGATCAATAGTTGAAGCATTTCGGTGCTTTGGCTCAGAATCGATTACTGGGGCACTGATGAATTCACTCCCTGATCTTGAATTCCAGTATTCCTTCATACAGTCTTTTCCACTCTGTCTTTCTGAACTATGTTCTCAGTGTCCTATCTTTCTCATTATCATTGATACTACGTTATCTCAATCTTTTTATCTTCGTGTGTTGTTATGTCCTCATCGTGGTAATCATGTAAGGCAGCTCGGACCAATGTACATGTATGCCGGACTCTACGTTTAGAATAACTGATTGAACAAATTAAAGTAATGACTCTAATTTAAGCGTGTTACTGTAAATTTTGTGTACTATGTTTTCATTGAAGTTTATGTTTGTATGCACTCGACAGATGACCTTGTTTCACCTAGATTTTGGGCTACTTGGTACTCATCAAGAAGGTGTAGTTGCACTTTTGAAGGTGATGATACGCCATCTGAGATTTGAACTTGCACTAATTAGTATTCCAGCCAGTAACCGCCTCTGACTAACCCTAGTCCGAATTTTAAAGATCTAATTCTTTTCTTTCAGGATCGTAGATATGTCCTGTTTACGAATATCATATCTTCAACTCAAAGCATATTTTTATTGTGAATACATCTTTGTTACTTGTTCTGTATATATAGGACGATTCAACATTATCTTCACCTGTTGAAGGCCTTAAAGTGATTCACGAGGATCTCCCATCTATCAATGAAACAAATGTTAATAATAATATCAATGATGATAAACGAAATGACGATGAATCCCATAGTCCTTCATCATCATCATCTACGCCAGCTGGGTCTCCGCCAGTTACTGATGTTACTACTCCTCCTCCCGCAGCAGCTTTGTTACTTCGTAAACGTTTAGGTGTCTCTGGTGAATCAATGAAATGTGCACAAGAATTAGTTTACCATGATAAAGATGCCAAGTAAGTTCATAAAAGCAATCTTGGATTGTATTAATTTTTTTTACTTGTTATAAATAATATTGCCTATACTAAAACAAACTATGAAGTGTTGTTTCCGTCACTACGAATTATAATGAGGATAACTTTGATTCTTTGCTGGTAACCTGTATGTAGCATGTAATTTCCTACAAACGTAATTCTAAACTAATCTCCAAACTGTCGAACACAGAGTCTTAATTTAGCCAAAGTCAGAACACGTAAGCAATTTGATGTGTTCTAAGTCGACCCAGTGAGAAAGCGATGGAGAGGGGTCAATTCCAGCTATAGTTGAAATTTAGATTTAGGGATTACAGTTTTAAAAAAAAGCATTCGTGAAGTGCGGAATTATGAGTGAAATTACGTCGCTGTAAATGGTATTGTTCCACGTTGATCAATATCTCCAATTTCATCTAAAACTATTCAAATTACTCAGTTGCATTTATTACTAGAGATGGACCATGCAAACATGCTAATATCATGAATTGTATGTTTAAAGTGAGAAATTAAGCGTAGATAAATGAAATTGTCAAACATTCATAGTTTTCTACACTGTGGATATGATTTTCCCCTTTACATTATTAACGTCAAGTGGGGAACGATTGACAGTTATGGAAAGTAATTTTACAGTTGTTCCGTTGTAATTTCAGTTTGGCTAGTAGTTTGTGCATTAATAATATCATCAAGGATGAAACAGAATTTTCAGGTATCATAGCAAATAATTAACTTTCCGGTTTCCAAGTTGGAATCCCATCATGTAAATATCTAATTTCAGTCAACTTGTGGTAACAACGCGACCATCATTATTTATATTTGTCTGACGTGTCAGGCATTGTTGAACTCTACTAATCAAAGCTTCTAACTAGACTTCTAGCTTTTCATTAGTTGTGTTAGTAAAGTCAGTCCTTGATGTATATGAAATAAATCTAACATTCAACGGTATCAGGTATGATAAAGATATCCTCCTAAAGCAATGGACTAATTGAAGTTAGACTTGTATACCATTGGATTTCGGCTCACTGGTCTTGAGGCTAAGTGTTTGCTTGTGAGACCGAAGGTTCAGGATTCGATTTTCTGTTGACAAAACAGTAATCTAGTGATTCCATGTTTTCTCAGTAATTGTCCAACTCATATCAGTTCATGATTTCAATGAAAATCAACAATGTCCACTACCACCCCATATTTACAATAATCATTATTTTATTCCTTAATGTTCCATGTTGTTAATATATGACGAGTAAAAGAAGTTCATTATCATCATTGTTCTTAGTTGTGAACTCTGGCTACTTATATCTTATCATTGAATTGTGTTATATTTGACACCATTTATTAAATGTCGTAATAGAAGTCTACCTATAATAGTAATAACAATAATAACGTTTGAAATTTTTAATTATTCATCTATGTACAAATTAGTTACGTAGTATATTAATATCTCGGTTTGTCGGTACAACGTAAATGCTCATATTTTATTTACCCATATGCCTTATCGTGTGATGTACTGATTACCTTTCTCATTTGTTCAATACTTATATATGTATATATACGTATTAGGTTTATACAAATATCAATTAATATAGGAATATTCACATACAAATATAGGTTTTACAAAGACCATTGATGTCAAATGACTGTAGTTAATGTCCTACTACCATCATTATTACTACTAATAGTGATATTAGTAGTAAGTTAATGTGGGCAGGTATCATCATCATTATCAATATGTAGATATAAACATATGTTTGTCTGTTCATCTACTTATCGTCCATTTATCTGTCTGTATATATGTAATTCAACTGGGATAATTGTAATGGGTAAGCCGTATTCACCATGATGGCAATGTGGGGATTATTTATTAGACGACTATACTTTATACAAAGGGTAGTCAAATGTAATACATATGCATATATAAATATGTTATCTTAATTCATGTTTTTTTCTTAACATGTCAAGTACTTCATTAGTTAATAGATAGAATAACAAATGTTGTCCGTTTTGTTCTATCTCACTTTTATTTAGAGATCTTTTTTCGTATTATTCAGAATGTAAAATTTCATTGATACACTTTCATGCATATAGGATAACATTGTGTATTTTCCTATTTTTTAAAACAATACTCATTGATTTTTCCTTTTCAATCTACTTGGGATTGAACCACATTGTGTATATATTTATGTGTGTTTGAGGGCTAGTTATACTACTTGACCACTTGAACTGAAGTAATCGAGCTCGGGGTTCGTCCTTATGACGTAATTAGTTCGAAGCTAGATGTTAAATCATCGTTCTACTACCATGAAGATGAAATCTGTGGTGTATCCAATTGAGAAATTGTTGACTGGATTAGTATTATTTAATCTACGATCCACAATTAGAAGTTGAATCAACATATTTGCTGTCTCATATGCTATCGCTCAAACTTTAAAGCGCTAAGCCTAGGATCCGATAGTGTACAACTCTAGCTACTGAAGAGTCTCATACTAAGATTAAACGAATTTTCAGTGCTTCCAGCTTTCTAATGGTTGTCTAACTTCGATCGGTTCGTGATTTTAAATTTTTTTTAACAATCTCCACTATCTCATACTGACGATGGAACCTAGTGTTTAACAATTGAAGGAGTTGATATGGGATACCGAAATATTGTAGACCATACACAGTCACGTATCGAATATGTATATATATATATTCTTTAATTTTGTCTAAAACTCCTGTTGAGGAGTGTGTATCATTCAATTTTCTAAACACTTTGTGAAAAATCGGAAATAGGTTGTATAATTTAATGGTTCCTTTACAATTGATTAATTACTGGCTAGTAATCAATATCATGTGTATCAGGTCTTTCTTAGTGCAGATCAAATTCTCTCAATTAAGTTGCAATGTACCAACTAATCTAAGTGATTCAGCATTGTGTACATTAAGTAAATACATCTCACTCTTATAGGAGTGATATATATAGTGATTCATTTTTTTATCTAATTCCACCTATATCGATTTAAACCGTTGACAAGTATCATTAACCTTCACATCCACACACATTCTCCCAATGTCTACTTCATAGTTTTGAGTACATTAATCTTATACTTAATAAATCCACTACTATTAACCCAATGAATTTCACTCATACATACACATGCATTCTGATTACAAAAATTTAGTCAATGTGATACAGGATTTTATATCTTTAAAAAGACAAAAAAAAAATCATCAAAACGTACTGAATGAAATATTTCCATTTCTTTTGTCTATTATACGCCTAAAAGAGAAAAGAAAAAGTTTATTTGGCGAGACTATAATTTATGGACGAACCAATCAATTATCAGTATAAAAGGTCTTAGATTTTGGCGCGAAATTCATTCATCCATTTGGTTAAAGTATTTTTGGCATTTAAGCTTATGTCAATTCGTGATGAAATTCTTAAATCTAATTCTTAACCCTTAACCATCAACAGTAAATCTTAATTCCAGTCCCTTACCATGGTTTATAAACCCCATTTGGTTCTAATTAGTATGTGGACATTCTCAAGGTCACTTCAGCGTCGTCCAAAGGTCGTCCATAAATTATAGTCTCACCGTTATTCAATTACATTGTGTTTGCAGAAACTTGTTAACATCACATAGATGTATTATTCATTAACTGGAAGTCAGTGTTATAAAGAACATGAAACACAATATGATTAATCTGTTTCTAAGTTTAAAGTTTTTAATATTAATCAGTGCTGATGTTTTCTCTAGAGCTGAATCATGGGGCATTTATGTCTTGCAGTCAGTGATCATTTCTAACTTGTTTTATCCGTTGTCTATGAGTCGTGATTTTCTGTACAGACGTTAAACAGTGGATTATTACAATTTGTTTACTATCACTAATTAACGTCTTGAATTTAGTTTTTTTCTATAAGAAAGCAAGCGATATACTGTTGAAGAGTTTCTGATGACTAAAATATGTAAACACAATTCAATCATTCATTAAAATGATCGTACTGATAATAGTCTAGCTTTATACATGAAACAATATGTGAATGTTTTATTTGTCAAATTTTACAATCACAAAACCAAATAGCTGACAAGTCAGTCAGTCACATGCAACTTGGAGGCTGGCATATGTTTTCGTCAGTTTAAGTTGCCATACAATACATTAGCACAGCGAAATGCTAGAACAGTATAACTCGTTACAGTATTAATGATCGTCTAAAAAGATTGGACATAGACAACATGAATCGTAAAAAGAATGTGCATTCACAGATTAAGGATATTTTTTGATCATTTTGAAATCGAAGATTTAAGGTAATCGTCCTGGATCAGTATATAACAGTTTTGTTCCATGTCACTCGAAGTCTCTAGCTATTGGTTATGATAATCGGACGAATTTCAATAAGATCATCTACACTTAACTACATGACTCAGTCAATATCTTCATGGATTGATATTGCCTTGGTTTGGTCACCTATAACTTCGATCCAACCTACGTGTGTAATACATCTTCCAACCACCGTTTACCTCAACACACAATATGCACTTATTTAATGAAGATTTACTACTTCATCGATCAATTTGTCGTAGTTGAGATCAGTGTGTTGATCTACTTCAGTCCTTATGGTTAATGCAGACCAATCCTAGAGCAAGATATTTAAAGGGAGAGAAATATCCTAACTGCTCTTGTGTTGTTGTTACTCATGGAGATTAAAAGACTTTTTTATAGAATTCTTCACCAGACAGTGCTATATCATTTGCATATCTTCTTTTAGAAGATCAATTCCTGAAATGTCACGTTGAGAACGTTATCTCTAAAGGAGATGAATAATAAAGATAATATACCAGGGATTAGAGTACATTCAAGCATAGATTGTGGTAGAGTAATATTTATACATTGACATTTTGTGTCTATATCTCAATTTAATCATTGTTCCACAATCATCAAGTCAATCTGTTTTGATTATCTTGTTTATTTTTTAAAATCTTCGTTTCTCTTTTATATTCCAGTCGACAGTATTA